ATTTTGCAGATGTCCTCCGTCTTGGAGCCCAGAGGTGAGCAGGCCAGCTGTGCTGGTGGGCAGAGGCAAGAGCAAACCACAGAGGCTGAAATGCTGTGGCAAGACCAGTGCACGGAGAGCAGTCCTGCTATGCTGTGGACTGTAGAAAACATGGGTTGGATTAGAGCAAGGAAAAATAGGGCAGAAGAAACAGGGAGGAAGAGGATGAAAAGAGTAATAGAGGCAAAGAAGGAAGAGAAGATGCCTCCTAAAGGGACAAATTTGTCTTACCTGTCAGGGAAATGTTCCCCCGAAACCCCTTCCCACTAAAACACATTCAGCTCTCAGGGTGTCTGCACTGGCCCAGTATTGGGGAGTCCTCTGGACACCCCCCTCTGCACTAGCTCTGTGTACCTCTCAAGCTGGGGTCACACTATTAAGTGCCAAATGTACACCAGATTTTCCACTTAATTCAGAGTGTAAAATAGTGTAGTTATAATCTCTAATGATTAAAAAAAAAAACAACAATTTTTATTTATTTTATTTTATCAGTACCTGCATATATGTATCTACCATCTGTGTGCCTGGTGCCTGTGGAGGCCAGAAAAGAGGATTAGATCCCCTGGAACTGGAGTTACAGGCTATTGTGAGCCTCCATGTGGGTTCTCTGCAAAAGCAACAATTAACCACTGGGTCATCTCTCTAGCTCCATACTTTAAAATCTTTAATATGCATTACATAACGGGACAATATCACTTCTGATAAACTGAGTAAAATTTAGACACGAGGCTGGGTGTGTGTGGGGGGTGGATCTCTATAAGCTTCTGGCCAGCCTGGCCCACATGGCAAGTTTTATGGTTATATGATGAGCCTGTCCCAAAATTTTCCATAGATAGATAGATAGATAGATAGATAGATAGATAGATAGATAGATAGATAGATATAGACAGACAGACAGATGGAAGAGGGCTAGAGAGTTGGCTCAGGTTAAGAGCACTGGCTGGTCTTCCAAAGGCCCTGAGTTCAATTGCCAGCACCCACAACCATCTATAATGGTGCCATCTTCTGACCTGCAGGCACACATGTAGGCAGGACGTTGAACACATAATAATTGGATTTCTGTGAGTTTCAAGGCCAGCCTGAGACTATCTCAAAAGACAGAAAAAATATGACACTTGTGGTTCACAGGGTACCTTCATCTTAGCATGATCCAACCCAAGAGTTTACTGAGGTAAACCTCGAGGGAGGCTGCATTATCAGCCTAAAAGCAAGGAGCACTTAACCTAGTACCCAAAGCTGGTGCAGGCCCTGCCTGGACCACACTCACCATCTGGCTTCAATCAGGCCTGATTCCACTTAGCCAAGCTTGCCAAGGAGCCCATAGCTGCCAGACTTGAGATGCTGAATCTCAGTCCCTCAGCAGCACCTGACTGCCCAAAGCTTCTTTCTAAAGAGCTGTTTTTTGGCCCATACACCACTCTTCAGATCCTGTCTTTGCCCCCAGAGGCTCTTTCTCACCCTCCTGACCTTTGAAGGCTGGAGACCCCAAAGTTTAGACCCCTCTGCTACATCCATCTTGGTGGTTTATCTATCTATCTATCTATCTATCTATCTATCTATCTATCTATCTATCTATCTATCTATCTATAGTTTGTTTCAAGATGGGTTTCACTATGTAATTCTGGTTGTCCTTTGAACTCACTATGCAGACTAGGCTGGCATCAAACTCACAGAGATCTCTGTCTCCCAAGTGCTAAGATTAAAACCCTGTGCCATTATGCCTGCTTGGCCTTCCTCTTTTTCCCTTAATCGTGTTTGTTTATCTCACACATGTGGAGGTTAAAGGTTCTCGACTTCTACCATGTGGGTCCTGGGAATCGAACTCAGTTTGCAAATCTTGGCAGAAAGTGCCTCAACTGCTAAGTCATCTCACTGACTCTGGGTAGGTTTCTTTTTGAGATAGGGCCTTGCCTGTAGGCCAGGTAGATCTCAAACTCATGGTAATCCTGCCTCAGCCTAGGATTACAGACCTGTGCCACCACACCTAGCCATACTGGCTATAGTGATCCAGGTCCACAGATTTACACACACTGATAGATATTAGGTGCCACATCACTGTCCCACTCTAAGAGCTATCAACATAAGACTCTGAGCCCACCCAAGCCTGCTTTCTCCACACCGAAGACTCTGGTGTCCTCTTTACAGGCCACTTCAACAGCTCTCGTTGGTTCTGCTTTCAAAATACACAGTAAACTTTCTTCACAGTAGTGGTCCATATCACCAACAGCCCCTGGCTCTTGCCCATTCCAACTGTATTCCCCATAGCCAGATCGAGACTTAAAACTGACCATGTCTTCCTGCTTCAAGGTCTAATGTCTTAGACCAAATGTCTCTACCAAATCTGGCTCCCCAGTGCCTCTGACCTCATGGACTACTTTCCCTTCCCATTTAGCCACCACACTGGCTTCCATTGTTCCTCAGACAAGGCCTGTGCACTCACTGTTCCCTGCCAGTAATGCCCTGGTATGTCGGCACAATTATCCCTGCACTGAACATTCAGCTTTTATTTTGTTCTGGTATTTCTGGTTTTGTTATTTTTTGTTGCTGTTTGTTTGTTTTGAGAAAGGGTCTCTACACAGCCCTGCCTGTCCTGGAACTCGGGATGTAGACCAGGTGTAGCGCCATCAGACTAGTTCCATGACCTTAGTCCTTAGATTCAGGTTTATAAAATGCATTCTGCCCCAGTCACTGATGCTTCCCATACCCCTAAATCCATTTGCTTTTCTTCATGCCTTTCTCCATATGAAGCATATGCTGGCGATCTCACCAACAGAGCTTTGTGAGCAGACACTTTACACTTGGCCCAAGAGCCCAAAACAATGCCCGACACACCAATCTGTTAACGGCCCTAATGGAGCAATTTTATATCTGACCCGGTTTTACAGATGGAAAAGAACCACTTCTGAGAGGTTATGTCACAACCACAGTTCTATATGGCCTGGAGCCAGTGCTCAGCTGGGTTGGTCAGTGTTCAAGGAAGTGACTAGTACACATTCAGACTGGAGCTAAGGTTGGCTGGGGTGCAGCTCAAAGGCAGGACTCAAGCTGGGCGAGTGGGGCTGTTCCACACCCTCCACTGCGTGTGTGGACCTGTGTGTATATGCCTTGGTGGGAGAGCAGGACCTGCAGTCTCTTATGTGGCACATTCTCTGGTCACCATCTCCAATTCCCACCACAACCACTCAGTCCTGCTCCACATTCAAGTGGTGACTTGATAAAGGACACACAACTAGTGATGGAAGCAACCAGCCTTTGCACCCAGGCCCGGTTCCCGTGAGCCCAGGTTTCCCAAGAAAGGGCAGATGACTTCATGGCCAGCCAGACGGTTACAAAAGGAAATAGCTCTTCAGCAGAAACCAGACCCAGCAATTTAAAAGGACCCCAGCGGAGAGGGCTTCAGAAACTGAAAACTACAGCCCTGACACAATGGAATGTTTGGCTTTGGACACTTCATCAGTCTCCGTGTGGGAGGGAATCCATGCAGGGCAAATAAAACGGGGCAAAGTCTACAGCACTCCACTTTGTGTGTGTGTTTCTTTTTTATTGTTTTACCAGTTTGGTTTTCACACAGCACTGAGCAACACCACTCTCAGAGAAGAATCAGTCAGTACATTAGTCCTCAGAGACAGCAAGCACAAGATGCCCTGGACATTCTTAGGACCTGTGAGCCCCAGTCAGGACTGTCAGGGCCTGGAGGGCAGTGACTCCCTCCAGTTCTCACCCCAGCCTTCACTCTCCAGCCCCCAGGTTAAATCTATCAACTCAGTTTTACAAATGAGAATGAAGCTGAGAGAAAGGCAGAGAGCTAGCTGCTCCAAAATCAGACACAGCATAAAATCCCCAGGCTAAGTGGCTTCTGTGGCCACACTGGGAAGAGAAAGAGTAAAGACACCATTCTTCCTAATGGAGACCTCCAGCCACTTCTTTCAAAGAAAGGCTCAGGTGGGCAGACTTTGGAGGACGAATGGTTACTATCACAACATCTACAATTTTATGTGAACACCCAAGGGTGCGCTTATTGAATCCAGTTAGAATCAATGGGTGGCATTCAGGCAGGCGGAAGAGAACACAAATGGGCCACAAGACACACAAAGAGCGGACTCCAGAGGAGAGGAGTGCAAATAGGACCAGCTGAGAGCACTCAAACCTAACAGTTTAATCCTGAGCAAAAAATACTTGTAATCTCTTTTTCACCTGGCCACAAGTGTCTAAAAAGTTATTTCAAACCAGATGAAGGAAGGCTGAGGCAGGGGGTTCACAAGTTCAAGGCCTATCTGGGCTACATAGTGAGTCAAACTAAAGAAAGAAAATGTTTTGTTCAAGATTTCAGCCAGGTAGCACCTAGCCAGCAGTCAAAGTTTGGGTGTTAGAGTGGGCTCTTCAGCACTGAGTCTCCTGAGATGCGTAAGTCTCAGCTCACCCTGCTACAGAAGCAGGTCAAGCCCAGTTGAGAAGCCGGGAGAACTTCAAGAAACCAACAACAAAGCATGCTGAAGCACTTTACCAGTTAATGACCTGGTGACAAGCAAGTGTAAACAACTAGAACATGGCTCAGGACCAAAGGGGCTGGAACTGACCTCATGATTTCCTTGCTTTGCGCAGAGGAGCAGGGGAGCATGTAGAATTAAGTATTAGTTAATTAACGCTTAATTAGTAAATTCTGCACTAGGGCCTCTTCTATGCCCGCTCTGTTTGTCCCAGCTCAAGGACTTTGTCTAACACCCAGATCTTTTGTCTAAGTTTGGATTTCTGTCTGCGCTGGGATAACACGCCTACCACAATGGGTAACAATGCTGAAATAAAGTACAGTCTGGGGGAGCCTTTTCCAAGCATCCTCTCCTGCTCCCAAACAATCGACACAGAGCCCTATTAGATTTACTCAACAAGCCTTAAAGCACCAAAGCTGGACAGACACTCATCTGTTCTAACCCTCTACTCTAGTCTGGCCCCAAATTACTTGCCATATTGATCTGGCCTGGGCTGCTTCTGCTCCACCAGGTCAGTCCTCATGGCCAGCAAATCATGGTCACATCCTTTCTTTCCCTCTGTTTCCTCCTTTCTCTTCTTCCGGCTTTCTCTACCTCACGGTCCCTACTGAGACCCCTTCACTGGATAGGAAGTCCAGCTTCCCTGCCCTTCCTCACCCAGCTATAGGCTGCTCAGTTTCTTTATTAACCAATCAAAGGTAACTGGGAAACACTGATTACCCAACACTGATCAATGATCATGACAATGCCCACATCCAGACTGCCCAGACTGCAACCAGATCTTGGGACACAGAATTCAGCATCTGAATACACAGCACGCCAGGCCAACCCCCAGCAGGATCAGGGATAGATCAATTTCCACCCTGCGAGGTCAGTGAGCATGGACATAAAGGTGCAGTCAGACTAACTGTAGTGAAAAGCATGTAAAGCTTCTACTGTCTTACAAGCCCTTCCAGTCAGGACCTGTAGGATCTGGGGGGTATTGTCTGTTCAGCTGTGAGCAGTGCAAACAGGGAGCAGAAAAACAGAACCAACAGCTGGAGGATCACCAATGCTTTGTAAGCCCACAAAGGCCAAATCATGAGCTGGGAATCTGATTCAGGGTTCATAAAGAATGTCAGTCCTGGGGGCCTGGAGAGATGGCTCAGAGGTTAAGAGCACTGGCTGCTCTTTCAGAGGTCCTGAGTCCAATTCCCAGCAACCACATGGTGGCTCACAACCATGTATAATGAGAGCTGGTGCCCTCTTCTGGTGTGCAGGTGTACATGCAGGCAGAACATTGTATACATAATAAACAAATCTTAAAAAAAAAAAGAAAAAGTCAATCCTTACCTCTCCAGACTCCCATACAACTCACCCAAGCATCAAGGTTTCTATTGTCCACATTTACTATCCTGTTAGAAACAGACTGACTAACTTCCTATGTGCAGAGCGGACATCTTGGTACCAGGGACAAGATAAATCACTGATGGGATTTGTTCCTAATTTCTGTGGCATTTGGTTTCTTAATCTTAATGTTTGGATCAACATCCTGCAGAACAAGACATTAGGAAGCTGTGTGTCAGAGGCTAACAGAGGTAAGACTGTTTATGAAATCTCAGGGCTTCTGATGGCATGCCAGGTAGTACTCTTCTCCAGCTGCAGCCAGCGCTGCAAGAACAGGAGCAGAGGACCCAATGGCACTCGCACTCCAGGTTCAATCCCTCGTACCAGAAAAAGAAATAAGAAATTAGTTTTAAAAAAAAAAAAAAAGTTATTCGGCCACAGCCAGGTAAAGTATTTAAACTCAATCTCCTCCTAGGAAACCAACAAGCCAGTTGCTGTCTTAACAGGAGGAAAATAATCTCCGCCTGTGAGGGAGGCATTCAGAAAACACTGTGTGCTCTGTGGAGGCCGGCTGCCTGACTCAGCAGGGGACAGGTGCTCACCGAGGGCGGCCAGTGTCCCTAGAGGAGGGGACTATTAAGAGGGCTGGCCCCAAGAACATGTCTGGGTCACTTCGTCTCCACAATAGTGACTTTTTCTTGGAGGATTTCACCAACAGCCTTGGAGAGACATGATTCTCTCCTGCAGAAGGAAAAGCAAGGCTGCAGTCCACTGCAACCATGGCAGCTCCCTCTAACACCCAGAGCATGCATGGAGCCCCATTGGAAAAAAAACTGGAGCCACTGCTGAAAAGCTCATTATCCTTCTTTCTTTGAAGCCACAGGAAAGCAGATCTCTTTCCAGAGGTCAGGGACAGCCACCTATTGGCCATCAAGCCTAAATTGGCCAAAAACTCTGAAAACAAAACAAAACAAAACAAAACAAAACAAAAAACAACAACAACAACAACAGAAAAAAAAACACCCAAAAACCTTCAGAGAATACTGCAAGTCCCAGACTTCCCGAAAAGATGAGAAACTGCTGAGGCCTTCCGGCTTGGCAGAGCTGGGTGTGTATAGTTTGACACTACAGCTATTAACTGTCCTCTTTACTGTAAAGATGGACAGAAATCAGCAACATGGAACCCCAAACTAACTCATTTGCTGTTTTGTGCCCACTACAAAGACAACTGCACACATTCCAAAATGACAACAGCTACACCTTGAAGAATACGGCCACTCCTACGAAAGGAAAAGATTTAATCTTTTAAATGAAAATCCAACTGTCTGGCCTTGGCAAAAGGAGGAGGTAGGGAGGCAGCTATTTAAAGCTTTCCACTGCTTTAAGGCCAAAGTTGCAGCTCCCAGAAGCAAGTTCAAAGCGCCCTTACAAACCTCTCTGGCTCCATCTTTTTCCACTGAGCCCTGCCAACATGAGTGTCTCTAGCCAGGAGGAAATACTTGCAGTGTGGGAAGCTCTCCACACAGCGCCTCATCCATGTGTGCATTGGCCACACCACCACCTGCCCAGTGACCAGACAACATGACTCCATTCAGCCCAACTTTCAAATCTTTTATAGTTCCTCTTTTTTCCCCAAGACATGTTGCTAGGTTGGCCTTAGACTCATGACCTTTCTGCTTCAGTGTCCTGAGCCTTGGGATTACAGGTGTGCACCACTATTCTTGGCTCTTGGTCTTTAAAAATTCATGTAGACACAATCTCCTACACAAGACCTTCTCTGGCACTCCATTTGCACTCCTTCTACGCTTTCTACACAAAGTGTTGCTGTTCCGCTGACTCTTTCACTGGATAGCAGGGTCCAGTGGCTGGCATACAAATGATATATATATGATTATGGACGCTTTCATAGGCTTTCATGCCACCAAGCATCACTGATGGGGCAATGTCCAGATAACTGGCTCACATGGGTAGAAAGTAAACAGACATTTAAAGTCTCAATCCAGAAGACCTGTTACCTAGTTATCCTTTAACTTGCACAAGACGTTTTAGTGGGCTTGCAAATGAGCTCAGTAGTAAAAGCCCTTGCCTGGTATTATGAGGCCCTGGGTTCATTCGTGGTACAGGCAATATTAAAATCCATAGCTGAGATGAAGGCACACAGCTATGATCCTAGAGGATCATAGTTTACAGGAGAATCTGACTTTACAGTTAACCTGGCCTTCATAGACTCTGCTTTTAAAAAGAAGGTCGTGCAGTGGTAAGGGTGCTGATGCCAAGTTCAATCCTGGGAACCCACCTGATGGAAGGAGAACCAACTCTGCAACTTGGAGGTCAAGTTGTTCTCTGACCTCCACATAAGCTCCCCCTAGGCCCAACGCACACACACAATAAATAAATGTAGAAAAAGATCCATTTTCTTCCCATTAGCTGCTTAATTTGAGGAAGAAAAAAAGTTTCAAAACAAAAGTTCAAAGGAAACTTTAGGGATACAGACATGAGAGGCTGCAATGCTGTATAGCCACCAGCCTACTTTTGTGAGACACCCACCTTCTGCTAGCAGAGGTGGCTCATCAACAAGAGAAGACAGTCCACAGTCTATGTATTTTGTCTATACCTAATGGTGTGTATAAACTAGCTTCAAACCACCAGAACCAAGGCTGAGTGTGGCAATGCACACCTTTCACCTCAGCAAAGGCAGGTGGCTCTCTAAGGCCAGCCTGGTCTACAGAATGAGTTCCAGGACAGCCAGGGCTACACAGAGAAACCCTGTCTCAAAAAAACAATTGCTGATCTACTTTCTGGGGCAGGAAGATGTCTTCCAATTACAAGCTGCTCTCATTGCATTTGAGATTTGCTGAAGATAAAGGACACAGTTCAAAGCTTGAAGCAAGAGTAAAGGTGTACCTTGGGGCCCTGGGTCTGATCCTCATGGCACCCCCTATCAATACGGTCTGAATCAACAGTGACTCAAGTCCACATTTTCACATCCCCACCAGGCACATTTTTGAAAAAGCATTTCTTTAGCTGGGTGCAGTGGTGTACACCTGTAATCCCAGCACTCAGGGATGAAGAGGCAAGCGATCTTTTTGAGTTCCAGGCCAGCCTCTACAAAATGAGTCCAGGACAGCCAAGGCTGTCTCGAAAAGAAACATTTCTTTGGTGAAAGGAAGCTGTACTCTCTCTGAATTCTTTAGATTGTAGCTGCAGCCTCTCTCAAAGAAACAGCAAAGGAACAATTGTACAGCAGGGAAGTGGCCACAGATGAGCAGCAGCCCGGTGACAAAACACCTGAGTTGTTTCTTCAAGTCCCCCCTTTTGTCAGTGGAAACAGCATGGATGACACTGGGTATTCCAAAGACACTCAAGGGAAAACATGACTTCAGATCCTGACATAGGAGAAAAACATTCCAGCAAGATCCAGTTCTGTAGTGTTGGAGGGCAGTGATCCTCTGGATCCATGGAGTCTACACACTTTACAACCAGCCAGCTCCCATTCACTAATCTCTCTGCTTCTACCTAAGTTTTGTTCTGCTTGTTTCTTTAGGCCTTTTCTTTTTTGGAGGTTGGGCACATTCAAAACTCATTACCAGCAGGAGAGAGGGTAATCTAAAGCTAAGAATTTTAATATTAGCAACTGCCTGCATTTGAAAGTCAACTGGACACAGTGATGTGAATATGCTTCAGCCCTCCCCACCCTTCTTCAGAACGGAGTATTTAAGGGAATCAAATTCATGACAGCCTTTAGAGGCCAGGTGTGGTGGCCCATGTCTATAACCCAGCATTAGAAAGGCTGAGTCTAGGGTAGTCTCTGCAACAAAAGCCTGACGTTCACAAACAGAAACTCTTCAAATAAACATTTGAGGTCAGGCACTTTGGGAGGCAGAGGCAGAGGTGGGTGGATCTCTAAGAGTTTAAGGACAGACAAGAAAAAAAAAAAAAAAGTTTAAGGACAACCAAAACTACGTAGTCAATTCCAGGCAGCCAGAGCTACACAATGAAACTTTATGTGATGGTTTAAATGAGAATGGCTCCAATAGACTCCTATGTTTAAATGCTTGGTGCCCAATTTGTGGCACTGTTTGGGAAGGATTAGGAGGTGTGGCCTTTGAGGTTTTAAAAGCTCACACCAGGCCCAGTGTCCTGTTTGCCCGCATGCCTGCCAGCAGCTCCCTGTCATGATGGCCTTTCTTTTATAGGCCTTACCTTGGTCATGGGGTGTCTCTTCACAATGAAAGGACAATAAATAAGACAGTCTCAA